TGGATATCAGCCCTCTGTCAGATGGGTAGATTGCAAAAAATTTTTTCTCATTCTGTTGGTTGCCGATTCATTCTAATGACTGTATCTTTTGCTGTGCAGAAGCTGTGGAGTTTGATTAGGTCCCATTTGTCTATTTTGGCTTTTGTTGCCAATGCTTTTGGTGTTTTGGTAATGAAGTCCTTGCCTACGCCTATGTCCTGAATGGTTCTGCCTCGGTTTTCTTCTAGGGTTTTTACGGTGTTAGGTCTTATGTTTAAGTCTTTAATCGATCTGGAGTTAATTTTAGTGTAAGGTGTCAGGAAGGGGTCCAGTTTCTGCTTTCTGCACATGGCTAGCCAGTTTTCCCAACACCATTTATTAAACAGAGACTCCTTCCCCCATTGCTTGTTTTTGTCAGGTTTGTCAAAGATCAGATGGTTGTAGATGTGTGGTGTTGTCTCTGAGGCCTCTGTTCTGTTGCATTGGTCTGTATCTCTGTTTTGGCACATATACACCATGGAATACTATGTAGTCATCAAAAATGATGAGTTCGTGTCCTTTGCAGAACATGGATGAACCTGGAAACCATCATTCTCGGCAAACTGACACAAGAACAGAAAATCAAACACTGCATGTTCTCACTCATAGGTGGGTGTCGAACAATGAGAACACATGGACACAGGGAGGGGAGCGTCACACACTGAGGTCTGTTGGGGGGAAATAGGGGAGGGACAGCGGGGGGTGGGGAGTTGGGGAGAGATAGCATGGGGAGAAATGCCAGACATAGGTAATGGGGAGGAAGGCAGCAACATCACACTGCCATGTGTTTACCTATGCAACAATCTTGCATGTTCTTCACATGTACCCCAAAACCTAAAATGCAATAAAAAAATTTGAAAAGAAAAGAAAAAAAAAAACTACTGGAATCATGATCAAAAGAACTCAGGAGCCAACTGGATGAGGAGAGGCTCTCACTGACCCAAAATGGGGAAAAATCCTGAATAATAGTAAGATTAATAAGTGCCATAGACTGAAACATATAAAACACATTATAAACTCAATTTTTATGATACTCAAACACACACACCTCCCTCACTGCACCTATGGAGGATGCTAGAAGCAGCTTATTGTTCTAAATGCTGGTAAAGGCATTTCTCCTGCTTTTTCTATACACACTGTACCTCAGGATAATCAAATAGTTGATGAAGGGGTGTTTCACTTTATAGAAAATATCCCAGCTAATAAATAAAAGACCAATGATAAAGTCAGAATATTACCATTTTATAACCTATAATAACATATTGAATTGAATATAGGTAATTACCAATGTCCAGTAACACCAGAGAGACACCAGCAATTACGGGCCTCCTGACAGAAGTATATCATACCACTCTCTAGAGTATTCTTGCCAAAAAAATGTATTTGTGTGTGTTGTGTCTGTGAATGAGTGAATGTGTGTATTTCAAATCTAAAATCAGAACACTGATATGAGACTATACATTCTAGCTTAGGAGGCCACCATGATCACCCGAGGAGCTTTATAAAAATAAAGTCTTTGAACCACCACTGTCTTAATGAACCTCAAAGATGGAAGGAATTGTGCCATTTCCCTCAGGACTGCAGAAGTGGGGAAAAGAGAACCACTGTGTAAACACTTTAAGGGTACAGAATGTATATTTTTCACCCAGTGTTTATCTCAATGCCTAACACATAAGAAGTACTTAAGAAACATAAGGCGAACTAATTAATGATCCACAGATGTGCAAATGAATAGGCAAGCTTAATAGTAGCTAACTACTAGATATGAAAAAAGCATCATTCATATTTGATATTTTAAAAAATCACTCAGGTTATAGAGTTTAAAGAATATGGCTCTCTGTTTTGAGTGGAAAGGGTTTCCTTCATAAAGCCACAGACTAGTCACTTCAAACAGCTACAAGTAAACACCCAGAATAAAAATAGTTTTAAATACACAATTGGGTGGGGTGTGGCTAGAAAATATTCTGATTCTACAATCTGTTTTGGACCAGACGGTGCTTCTTATGTGACTAACAAAGCAAACAGCAGTCAGATTCCTTGTGCTGAAATAAGTATACTATTTGCAAAGAGGGTTGGCTGCCCAAGGCTTATTCAATGAGGATACCACATTTTCCAAAACTAAAGGGGAATACAGAATGACAAATACCCAAATATATTTATATAACCTAAAACAAGGCATACAACTGCCCGATATGGATTTTTTTTTTGTCTCTAGTAAGCACTAACTGGAGCCAAGTCTACCATCTGACCATGGAGAGGAGCAGAATACCTCAAACACAAGAATAATCTAATTTTAAAACTGGGAAGAGCTTAGAAACCACTTAGTCCAAACTTTTCATTGTGTTGATAAAAAACAGACACCCAGAAAGGTTAAAGTAAAAAGCTCTGAAAAGTGTTGCAATAGCCACAGATGAAAAATTGGTATACACAGGTCCACAGCGCTATATATTAAGAGCTGAGAATTAGCCTTCTGAACGTTCACATGAATCAGTCACATGGTATTACATGGTATCAGTCTCAATTATAAGCAAACAGAAGTAAGTGTGTGCATGTGTGTCACCATATATACACAAAAATACTAGAATATGTTTTTAATAATTCCTTTCAAAACAAATTCTTCAATCTAGCATTCAAAAGCATCCATAAAGTTACCTCCCTCACTTTTTCAAAAGGTTGTCCAAATGAGCCATAAGACAGTAGAAGGCAGGTGTTTTCTCACATTTATCTTTTGTAGTCTCCTACAGATGTAGCAGAGTACATATTATAATTACAAAAGCTATTCCACATATAATTTCCAAATGATAAAAGGATGATTATAATATAAACTTTCCTATTCTGTTAGTCTGAACTGCTATAAAAACATATTTTATATGTATCTATGAATATTATACAGAGACATATATAACAATGTAGGTTTTTTAATATTGCAATTAACAAAATGCTTAAAAGTGAGAGGAGACAGGCAATAAGATGCCTTATCTATTTACATTTCCATAACGGGCAATACAAGGCTTTGTTTAAAATACAGAAAATTGCTTGCAGGGGAGAGAAAGGAAAAAGAAAAAAAGACAAATCTTTCTTTCATTCACTGGTCAAACTTTCAATTATTTTAATTATTGATTAATCCTGAATCCATGCTACTTTAATTCTGTGGAGGTAGAAAAATGATGTGCCTATGCCTGTGTATAAAATTGTCCTTCTCAGTCAGTTCACCTGTATAGCCAATTTGATCTTGATTCTAAATGATGAAATTAAATAATATAAAAAATTTGGGTTGTCAACTTCCTATCTTTATTAGATTTTTTAGGATCCTAAAAACTGATTTTAAAGTTTTCTTAATATCGTTAAACAGACTCTACTGAAATTGACACCATAGTTTTTACTTCCGCCTTGAGGAAAAAGTATTTCTAATTGGGATAATTCCTAAAGAAAACTGTAAGTTAAGCCAATAATATTTCTTTTTAAAGCTGAAAGCAAAGTTTGAAAAATTTTTTCTTCTTAAAGAAACACAACAATCTTATGTAAATTAACATAATATGAGATTATCAAATTAAGGGCTTTCTGCAAAATCTACATCAACTCTAAAGTAAATCCAAATTTAACAAGAAAATCTGAAGTCATTTACTGAATATATTGTAGTGTTGTAATAAGGAAGCTAAATCCTTCAGGATAATTATATTGCTAACTCTACTATCAAATTCACAGATGTCTTGCCCTGTCTGAAAAATTTTAAATATTTAATATGCTATCATATTTTAAATTTCTCTTATTAACTTCTGAAGGCTTACGCTAAAATTCTGACATGCAAAACCACATGCCTATATTTTCACCATTTTGTTTCTTTTGCTTAAGCCTAAAATTAAGAATTGGGGTTAGCTATTTTCACAAAAATTTACAAACATTAATAGATACATTGATAACTTTATATAATAATTCAATAATTTAGATGATGGTTTAAATCTAGTACTCCATTCAAGGAATTCTTTTTCCATTTTTATGTACTACTAAATATTACATAATATTAATCAAATAACATAAGAATGTATTTTCAAAAATAAAAAGGAGGTATCTTCATTCTGTCATGAACCAGTCTAAACACTAGAGTAATAATTAATAAGATAAAATCACAGAAAAAAAATTGTACCTGGTTTAAACTATTAATATATATTTAAGACAAAGGTTTTATTTTTTAATAAGAAAACAAGGAAAAGGAGAGCCCAGCCTGATCTTGTGTGCCTGTCCAACAGAATTTTCCACCATAATTACTGCTTACCATCTTGGAGGGGAGGACCTTAAGCTCAGGGCTTCCTCATGTAGTAAGGCAAAAACAGTATAAATACCACAGGGCAGCTCTGGAGAGGCACCTTCTGCACTGCTCACCTGGGCAGAGGAGGCTTCAGAAAGCTGCCAACGCACCATTTCCAGGAACTCCCAGCACCCAGGTAAGTGTACACTCACTGGCAGACTTCCATGTTAACTTGCTTGGAAACAAACTTCAATAATTTAAATACTTGAGTTTTCTCAAATATTAGAAGCATTAAAGTCATTTTTAAAAAATAATTTCTACTAAAATGCACTCAGAAAGTTCTTTTTGCATCAGTCTATAGATGATAATCCTAATAAAACCATATTGTAAAAATTTGCCCTAATCTGAATTTCAGTGTATTTTGAAACTACTGGATGGATATTTCAGGCTATGTCAAAGATCCTGGATTATTTAATACAGACATCCAATCCTAATTTCTGTTTCTTTTTCTTTAGGTAAATCATTATTTTTCACTTGATTACCTGAATATAGCTTCCAAAAATAACTAAGATATATATTTAGATTACTAAAGAAAACATTTACATATGGCACATATTAAAAATATATAGGAAAGGTTAAAAAAGTAGATAACCGTATAAAGAACTCATCTATGAAACATCAGAATAAAATAGGTTAATAGTAATGCAGTATAAAGTTATTATTTTCTGTTTTTCAGAATCCACCTGAGAATATGCTGCCACAGATACCATTTTTGCTGCTAGTATCCTTGAACTTGGTTCATGGAGTGTTTTATGCTGAACGATATCAAACACCCACTGGTATAAAAGGCCCACAACCCAACACCAAGACACAGTTCTTCATTCCCTACACCATAAAGAGTAAAGGTAAACTGAATTGTATATTTTGTTCTATTAACAAGTTGGTTGTTGCTTTCTACAATCTTAATAATATCTTTAACAAAATGCATTTAACTCTGGTGTTAAATTATTTTCAAACTTCTGAATTAGCCCAAATTATTACAACAAAGTGATCTGTGAAAAAAGTAGAACAAGAACATCCATAAGTGTAGTAGAAACTATATACCTGAAAGTATAGTAGAAAGATATACCTGGAGAAAATTAAAAACTTTTGTGTGTAGAAAGTTTTTTCTCAGATGCTGTTTTTGTACAAATGATTCATGTAATCCAGAAATATTGATCTAATCAAAATTAATCAAGTTAAAAATTTTTAAGCTAAAGAGAATTGCCAATTGTACAAAGAAAATAACTGGTTTATTTATCTGGGTAATTAAACATTTTCTTTTAAAACTAATTCAACTAGCCCACAAACAGACATAAAACAGAGTCTTATCAAAAAAGTCTGATGCCCCCCCCGGACAATGAACAAATGTAATTATTAGAACTGTCAAGCAGACAAATGAAACTGCAATTCTCATAATTACTTACACATTTTTAATATAGTTTAGTGGTAAAATGCAGAGACTTAACTATAACATACAAGCAGTGTGACCTGAGGTAGGTTATTTGTCCTCCCATGCCTTACTTTCCTTACTTGTAAAATAAGGAGCTGCTATCTCAAGGGCTGCTGTGAGGTTTAAATGAATTAACACCTGTGAAGTGCTTTAAGTGTTGCTATTACTTCTATTACTACTTCTGTTACTCCTAGTTTTACTTCTATTACTTTTAGTTACTAATGCAGCCTTCAATAAGTTAATGTTCTTCTTCAATCTGTTGCTTATCTGTCCAGCTTTCTTGGTTACTCTTTGAAGGGTACTGAGATAATATATATAAAGTACTATGGATGTCAAAGAAGGGCAACTTCTAGGCCTCATATTTACCAATTTTATTTAATAGCAACTGACACAACTGCCTATAAAATGTCTACTGAACAATACAAACTGACTGCAGCCTTCAAATTCCCTTTCCATAATTTTTTAGTTATATATTTTATCCTGTAAATAAAGTCAAGAATATTTGTTATACACTTTAAATATTATACTTTTGGCAACCACCATTTTGAGCAAACGAAACTTATAGAATTATCTTTTTAAGAAGCAAGATTAATTTAAAATATTTCACACAAGGTAACTTAATATTTGAAAATACAATGGATACTTCTGAATGTCTCAAAATATAAATAAAAATGTTAAAAGTAAAAAGCTAGTAAAGAGAAAAATAAGACAAAGGACCTTCTGCTTTACTTGAAGCAACAAACACAACTTAAATGCTATGACAAACAGCACTGTATTCAAGTTTCTGTGATCCCAAATTCTTTTTAATACCTTAATAAGAGCATAATAAAGTCTTGAATTAAAAAGAAAATGCACTATGTTTAGAAGGCTAAAAATACTTTGATCTTTTCTTACCATACTCCATTATCTTGGCTACTTTTACAGAACAAATGAAAACATCTTAAATGAAAAGTTCAGAAGCTGTATTGAAAGTACTAAATCCACCTTAGTCCCTTTTTAGATAGACACTCTACTACATTATCAACCATTGGCAGGCATTAATGCACTGTAACAAACACAAAAGGCCACAGTCTATACAAGTAAAACATTAAGTTGATAATAGAAATTCAACAAGTTACAATATAATTCTTAGGCATATCTATCCAACACAGGTTAAAAAAGAGTTCAGTCAAAACATTCTAAATTATGCTGTAGAGGATTCCACAGCTGGTGGGCAGAGACAGGTGCCACATTTTGACAAAACCAATCACGATTTCAGTTTGTGGCATTTAAAAAACTTAATAGCAGTAAGTAGTCATTTTCCCTTGAGGATTGTGCCACCCTAATCTTGAATGAATAAAAGTTTTTCAGATGACAACCTACAAACAGGGGCTATCCCCCAAGCATTCAGTAGAAGTCAAATTCTTTCTGAACCGAGATGTTGAGGACCCATTAGGACAACATTCCAAGTAACAAAGTTAACCCTGTCACTGGAGTTCTAGCCTTGGATGATGCCCAATGCACTCATTTCCACTGACTTATTTCTCCTCTTTTCAAACAGTAAAACAGGTTTCCAATCAGACTAAGACAATTATTTTTAGTGTGAACATGACACTTATAATCAGGTTCTGAAGCAAACTTCAATCTAACATAGTTGGTATTTAAAAAAAAATACACTATTTTACCCCTCCAACCCATTCAAAAATTCCTTATTTATCCATCTATTTGCAACATATCAATATCCACTGACACATAGTATAATCATGTATATACACTACAATCAATGAAACATTTGTTAATATATGGAAATCTTTTACATAAATTAATTTTTCTCATAGTCTTTTTCCTGATGTCATTTTCTGAAAATCCATTGGGAAAGCTCTATGTATTTATTAATAAATGTTTTCAAATTGAAATAGAACTCTAATTATTATGAAAAATATCTAAATTAAAAACAATTATTTTCCTATTTCAGCCTATCTATTTTAATGATTTGCTCTGCATTTATACACATCAAATGTTTTCCAAATCTCAGAAACATCTTTACCTTGTGCTTTCCCCATACTTGTGGCCCAGCAGCATTTTTCACATCACAGGCACTATGATTTTCTAGTTTAAGTTTAGTTTAACAGGTCAAGTGACCTCAGAGCTCTATGAAAACTCATACTTTAGGTGAGTACTTTAATACTATTTTATGTGCCTTACCCATTATGTCTAATTCTCTAGTTCTTTGCTTCAATTTTAAGTCAATAATGGAGAGTGTAAGAGCTCAGAGTATATTCTGAGGTAAAAATAAATAAACCTAAATCTAACCTGGGTTCAGCAGGGGCATGGCAGATGTAAATCAGAATTAATTCTGTTTCTCTTTTATGTCTAACAAGACAGCTTTGAGAAGGAAAATTTTTATAGTTCTTAAACATTTTCTCAGTTATTCTGCACTAGTCTTTTTCTGCCTTTTCTGTACATGATTTTCCCAAAACAGATGTACTAAATTTACTCTCACTGTCACTTATTCTAGAGGAATTCTTCAATCCCAGCTCATTTTCATGAATCACTGCCATGTGATAGAAGTATTATGGTAGCCATGGTTTTGTGAAACCATCTTCTCCAGCAGAGTTTTTTTTTAAAAGAAATATAAAACATATTCTCTAAAACCATTTCAGAACGTTCTGTCTACATGGAATAAATGACACTGAAATATCCTATCCCAATTCATATTTTGAAAGCCAATGATTATCTTTAATGTCACTAACCAACCCCTTCTATGGGTGGGTGTGTTGGGTGTGTCTTTTAGGTATAGCAGTAAGAGGAGAGCAAGGTATTCCTGGTCCACCAGGACCCGCTGGACCTCGAGGGCACCCAGGTCCTTCTGGACCACCAGGAAAACCAGGCTATGGAAGCCCTGGACTCCAAGGAGAGCCAGGGTTGCCAGGACCACCGGGACCATCAGCTGTAGGGAAGCCAGGTGTGCCAGGACTCCCAGGAAAACCAGGAGAGAGAGGACCATATGGACCAAAAGGACATATTGGACCAGCTGGCCTACCAGGACCACGGGGCCCACCGGGGCCACCTGGAATCCCTGGACCAACTGGTATTTCTGTGTCAGGAAAACCTGGACAACAAGGACCCACAGGAGCCCCAGGACCCAGGGGCTTTCCTGGAGAAAAGGGTGTACCAGGAGTCCCTGGTATGAATGGACAGAAAGGGGAAATGGGATATGGTGCTCCTGGTCGTCCAGGTGAGAGGGGTCTTCCAGGCCCTCAGGGTCCCATGGGACCACCTGGCCCTCCTGGAGTGGGAAAAAGAGGTGAAAATGGGGTTCCAGGACAGCCAGGCATCAAAGGTGATAGAGGTTTTCCGGGAGAAATGGGACCAACTGGCCTACCAGGTCCCCAAGGCCCTCCTGGGGAACGAGGGCCAGAAGGCATTGGAAAGCCAGGAGCTGCTGGAGCCCCGGGCCAACCAGGAATTCCAGGAACAAAAGGTCTCCCTGGGGCTCCAGGAAGAACTGGGCCCCCAGGGCCTCCTGGCTTTGGGAAACCAGGCTTGCCAGGTCTGAAGGGACAAAGAGGACCTGCTGGCCTTCCTGGGGGTCCAGGTGCCAAAGGGGAACAAGGGCCAGCAGGTCTTCCTGGGAAGCCAGGTCTGACTGGACCCCCTGGGAATATGGGACCCCAAGGACCAAAAGGCATCCCAGGCAACCATGGTCTCCCAGGTCCTAAAGGTGACACAGGGCCATCTGGGCCTGCAGGATACCCTGGGCCTAAGGGTGAAAGGGGTTTCCCTGGGTCAGGTGGAAAACCAGGGTATCCAGGAGAACCAGGTCTCAGTGGACCTAAGGGTAACCCAGGGCTACCAGGCCCAAAAGGTGATCCTGGAGATGGAGGCCCTCCTGGTCTCCCAGGCCCTGTGGGTCCAGGAGGAGCTAAGGGAATGCCGGGACACAGTGGAGAGGCTGGTCCAAGAGGTGCCCCTGGAATACCAGGTACTAGAGGCCCTATTGGGCCACCAGGCATTCCAGGTTTCCCTGGGTCTAAAGGGGATCCAGGAAATCCTGGTCCTCCTGGCCCAGCTGGCGTAGCAACTAAGGGCCTCAGTGGACCCACTGGGCCACCAGGGCCTCCAGGTCCAAGAGGCCACTCTGGAGAGCCTGGCCTTCCAGGGCCCCCTGGCCCCCCTGGCCCACCAGGTCAAGCAGTCATGCCTGAAGGTTTTATAAAGGCAGGCCAAAGGCCCAGTCTTTCTGGGATGCCACTTGTTAGTGCCAACCAGGGAGTAACAGGAATGCCTGTGTCTGCTTTTACCGTTATTCTCTCCAAAGCTTACCCAGCAATAGGAACTCCCATCCCATTTGATAAGATTTTGTATAACAGGCAACAGCATTATGACCCAAGGACTGGAATTTTTACTTGTAGGATACCAGGAATATACTATTTTTCCTACCATGTGCATGTGAAAGGGACTCATGTTTGGGTAGGCCTGTATAAGAATGGCACCCCTGTAATGTACACCTATGATGAATATATCAAAGGCTACCTGGATCAGGCTTCAGGGAGTGCCATCATTGATCTCACAGAAAATGACCAGGTGTGGCTCCAGCTGCCCAATGCCGAGTCAAACGGCCTATACTCCTCTGAGTATGTCCACTCCTCTTTCTCAGGATTCCTAGTGGCTCCAATGTGAGTACACCCCACAGAGCTAATGTAAATCTTCTGCTTGAAAAGGCATTCTCCAACTCTTCCCTACCCTACAAAATGCATATGGAGGTAGGCTGAAAAGAACATAATTTTTATTTCTGAAATACATATTTGGGTTATCAGACCAACAAAACTTCCCCCTGAAAAGTGAGCAGCAATGTAAAAACACATGTGAAGACCCTCTTGAATTTCTAGTCAGCAATCTTTTAAAGTTTCTTTGAACTCCTCCAATATTTAAAAATATCACCAAAGAAGTCCTGCTATGTTAAAAAAAAAAAACTATTAAAAGAAAAAAAATGAAATACAGCTCTAAGTGATGTGAAGTTTGATTTGAGAAACTCAACATTTCCTTTTTTAAAAAACCTGTTTCTAACTACTAATATGAGAACTTCTTAGGAAACATTCAGGAGGTATCATAACTTTGTAGAACTTAAATACTTGAATATTCAAATTTAAAAGACACTGTATCCCCTAAAGTATTTCTGATGGTGCATTACTCTGAGGGCTATATGGCCCCTTTCATCAATGTCTATAAAATATACAGGTGCATGTATACTTTTAAAGCTCTTATATTAAAAAAAACCCCAAAATATTATATTGAAGTTCATCTGAAATGCAAGGTGCTTTCATCAATGAATCTTTTCAAAATTTTCTGTGACTGCAGAGAAGCTTTTTATATACCCAGCACAAATTGGAAACAGATATCTGACCTATTCCTATTTATTTAACAAAAATGTGATTAATCTGACTTCTTTCATTCCTTATTGGATCTTATGTGATACGATGTTCTGGATTTACAGAACATTAGCACATGTACCTTGTGCCTCCCATTCAAGTGAAGTTATAATTAACATTGAGGGTTTCAAAAAATTGACTAGAAGTGGAGATACATTATTTATTTATGCTCTGTACTGTATTTTTATATTGCTGTTTAAAACTTTAAAGCTGTGCCTCACTTATTAAAGCACAAAATATCTTACCTACTCCTTATTTACGATACAATAAAATAACATCAATAGATTTTTATGTTGAATTAATTTGAAAGCAGCAATTTGCTGTTCTCAATCATTCTTTTAAGGCTTTTCATTTTTTAAAGCTAATAAAAAAGTAGAACAGTAAAGTGGTGGGTGGCTTTTACAGTTGTCATGGATATGTTCCTATACTGGGGATGAATATTCATTCCCACAGACCCAAGCACTAAGGGTAGACCCGTGAAAAGGTACCCACAAAGCCACATGCAATCTGAGTCAGGGTCAAGGGCTGATGACTAGGCATAGAAAAATGAGACAATCACCCCAAAGTTGTAATTTTCTTCTGGGAGGGAAAGAAGCAGGTGACAGAGAAATATGCCATTTGAACAAATATTCTGCAGTTACTATTTACTGTCTTGACATGTTTTTAGTCCTAATATGTAAAATTGTTTTGATGGCTTGAATTACATTTTAAAAAGGCAAGCAATTTTTTATGTCAATCAAAAGGCAACATTTTTTCCAAGCTGAAAAATATGACTCTTGAGCATCCATCATCCTATTAATCAGGACAATGTGGCTCAAGTCACTGAAGTAACATACTATAAAGGCATCTATTCATTCCTTAAAAGCAATCTTGTGTAATCCAAGCGAAGGTGTGATTAGAAAGGTAAAATGCAGGGCTCAAGATTGGTGTTATCTCTGCCCCCATTCTCCATCAGTCAATCTTGTTCCTTAGGCAACAAGAACAAAATTTCTGCTGGCATTCATTTTGCCCACATGTCTATAACTACTACATTAATGGTTACAAGTCACCAACCCTCAGGCCCAAGCCAGGAAAAAGCAAAACTGAAACTTCAATTCTGAGGAACTCACAGAACGAACCTCATGGGAGGCATGGTAAAAGAGAGTATAACAGCACAGTACAGCTTGGAATATGGGCAATTATAACCATGAAAGAAGTGCAAATAAAATGACCTCTGAAAATGTAAGCAGAACGAACTTTAAATTAATATTTAAGCTCAAATTAAATCCTAAGTAAGATACATAGCAAAGCACGTACTTTTTAACTAATTCACCAGACAAACGTAGTTTAACAAACATGTATCAGGAAGCCCCTCTTTACGATACTCACCCTTAAAAGCTGACATTTTATAATTGTGTTGTATAGCAGCAACTATATCCTTCCAAAAATCAAATGTTTTTTGACCATTGTTCTGCTGAAAAAATAATTCCAAATGTAATAAATGCAATAATTCAGCTTTTAAGCATAGTGAAAAATGCTGGCAAATACAATTCAGACAGTCCCTGACTTAAGATGGTTAGGCTTATATTTTTTTTATTTTATGATGGTGGAAATGTGATAAAGATTCCGTAGAAACTTTACTTCAAGTACCCATACAACCATTCTGTGTTTCACTTTTAGTACAGTATTCAATAAATCACATGAGATATTCAATACTTTATTATAAAATAGGCTTTTTGTTTGGTGACTTTGCCCAACAGTAGGCTAATGGAATAAGCTAAGCTAAGCTATGATGTTAAGTAAGTCAGGTGTTTAAAATGCATTTACAGTATTTTTGACTTAATGATGGATTTGTCAGGAAAAAACCCCATCATAAGTTAAGGAGCATCTCTATTACTATATTCTGAAAGGAGTTTATATTTTAGAAAACATAATAGATTAATAAAGTTCACATTCTTCTAAATGTGATTTTAAAAAGAGAAATCTTCCATGAAAATCACTGCTACGTATATACACATACCACTAAATGTTAAAATAGCTCATTTAGCCCAAATATAATAAAAATTTCCACTCATCACAGTCTAAAAATTATAGAGTATTTTTAAACACAGCAAATTCACAGCATTATATAATTTCTGAGATATCAGAATGTTTGATATAAGATACTATGGCATCAATGGGACTAAGAAGACTGAAGCCCTAAAACCCCAGAAGCTGGTTACTTTAGAATTCAGTGCACTGGTAACCTGCATTTCAATATGAAAGAGCAGCAAATCTCAATAGAAGAAATGAATCAGGTTCCAAATCCAAAATGCAAATTGTTTTTATTAAGATTTTTTTTTTCAATCAGAAAGCAAATAAACATTACATTAAAACACACAACCCTATGATCCTTTGCTTCCTTGGAAATGTTAACCAGTGACCTATCTAAAGAAAGACAGACTACTAGATATTTATATCTAAATATACAAACTCCAAAATATTTAAAGATTGATAAACTTTGCTTATAATAACTACCAATGAGAAACTGACTCTATCTTGTGTTAATAAAAATTTCTATGAACATATCCAAACTACTTCTCAGTGGAAACTTTCACAACACATAAATGTAATTCTGATTCACAAATAAAACATTACCTGTGTTCTATTATCAAAATGACAGTAGTGATTTTTTTTTTTTAATTTTTTGAGACAGAGTCTCACTCTGTCACCCAGGCTAGAGTGCAGTGGTGCAATCTCAGCTCACTGCAACCTCCACCTCCTGGGTTCAAGCAATTCTCCTGTCTCAGCCTCCTGAGTAGCTGGGACTACAAGCACACACCACCATGTCCGGCTGATTTTTGTATTTTTATTACAGATGGAGTTTCACCACATTGGCCAGGCTGGTCTTGAACTCCTGACCTTGTGATCTGTCCGTCTCAGCCTCCCAAAGTGCTGGGATTATAGACATGAGCCACCGAGCCTGGTCCAAATAGCAGTGATTTTTAAAAGACAACATATGCATAAAGAAAAGTGATTCTGACATATAAATCTGTTTTATGTTTACAGGTCTTAAGTCCTAGGTATAAACTAGTATAACAAAGGATTGATTTAATCTTGATATACAGTACAAAAGAAAAAATTTACATTCATTAAATGATGCTCAAAACGGTGAATTTTAAAATTTCATCCAATTTTTTTGCTTTTATATTATTTAGAATGCTTAAAGACACATTGAATTGTCTTAATCAACCTTTAACTTTTCATTTTGCTAAATGAAACTATTTATTTTACTAAAGAAAATATTTTTTCCAGATGGAAGTTCTGTATTTATTTTCTTTTTCTAAACTTTTGCACCCTCTGCTGGAGAACAGGTTTATTTTTCCCGAGAGGAAAAAAAAAGTCACTGCTATTTCATTTCCCAAAAATATTTTAACCAAATTCACCATGTTTTCTTTCCTTGTCATCTCTGAAACCACAAAGAAGAAACTGAGCAAAAATCACAGCTTAGAAGCAATATGTAATTAAGTTCTCCAATTTAAGACTGATTACCTATCACAGTTTAAAAAAATGAGTCCCTACTTACTTTTGTTAAATAATCCACCACCCTGGCACATAGAAGAGCTCCTGGCAGGTCAAAGTAGTTGTCGTAAAAATAATACTTTCCTAAAAAAGAACAAAATTTTAAACTGGGAACAACATAATGCCGTATGTATATGAAATACACAGAAATGTGGCTGTTTTTTAAAATGTTTAATTATCTGAAGAAGCCTCCATTTCAATTCAAAATGGCACCATTATTGGCTTTGTCTTTTAAAAAAGATTTAAGCTCTGAGGGCACCACAAGGAAGTTAAAGTATAATATCTGGAAGTTAAGCACTGTATTCAAAGATATTTTAGTCATCTTAAAGAATGTAAAAACTAAAAAAGAGTATATGTAAAAAATAAAATAGAATACTAAAAAGCCATAATTTATGTTATCGATGTCACTGAATTTCAAAACAAAAATAACCTAACCCTGGAGTACCGTGAAGTGCTCCCCACTTTCAGACTGGTTGGCCAACCCCACCTAGAGTACTGCATTCTATTTTTATGCCATTTAAGACAAATTTCAGTATAAAAACTGAAAAAAACTGGGGTGATAAGTAGAATATAACCATGCCATGTGAAGACACAGTGTGCTTATCTTATAAAAACGGTGGCTAACAAATGGCAGGATGGGGGAACAAAAATCAAGTGATTATAATCAAAATCAACTGTAGAGTACGGGACAGGTACATTCCAAGATTTCATGGAAGAGAAGGATTTGGTTCATTCTATATGACCTTAGGGTACAATTACATTTGAGCCCTTGTTTGACACATTTGACTTTTGGGTCTGCTGTCCCTGAACAGACAATTTTGATGACCCATGTCACATTCCCTTGGCCCATGTCTGAGTCCAGCCACAGCTATGCTAACAGCACCATCCCACCTTGGCACACTGTGTAATTCTCTTCCTCCCAAAGGCTCTGGAGCCTATGTGGCAAACTACAAACTTGGAACAGGTTCCAAACTTGGAACTACAAACTTGGAACAGGCTGACAGCTCTGGGAGGTATTTTCTGTGCTTCTCCTTGGAAGTCCCAGTGGAGTCCAGCACCCATTGTTCCTTCCATGCCTCACCCTCTCATTCCTTCACTCCTGACTAGTGGGATCAGGAGTAACCACTCTGCTTTTGAGGGAACCCAACCTCATAGAGTTCCCTAGAGAATGCTTGTTACCAAGAAGAATCAAAGAGAACCAGTAGGTAAAGCCAGATTTGACATTAATAATAAGATGCTTGAGTACCTCATTGTAATCATTTGATTTTGATTCCTCCCTCCTCCCATTTGTTAGCTACGTATATGAGGTTATGGAACACATTTGTCTTGTTGTTTAGTGTTGACTAGGCAGTGTTCAGCATATTCTAAGTACTCAAGAGATGTTTGCTGAATGAATGAATGAGTAACCAATAATTAAATAGATTATTTTGGAATGCAAAAGTATTATAGAGAAATTAGAAGATAACCATATGCAGAAGCCAGGGTTCTTTTTCTCTGAATATTATTTTGTGCCTCTTACTTCTTTCTGTAGAATTATTTCAAAAGGTATAAAAAATAAAATCAAAGTTTTCTTTCTGTTAATTTATAAAATGGCTGTGCCTGTTTCTGTTCATTCCCTCAGTTAAAAACATTTTGGTTGATACAGTCTCCCTGTTTTTCATTCTTTCATAGCTTAAATTGTTAGGGGAACCTCTCAGGCTGTTTTTAATTCCTAAGAAAGGTCACAATGGCTTTGCCAGTGTGAAGAAGCAGTGATCTGAAAGAAAAGGAAAGCTATATGCCATGCACTTTTCTGCCTTTGCTTTGCTATGCTGTAAGACTGTATGACACCCCAGAACTCCCAAGGCTTAGGACAGTAGGCAAAGCTTCCCAAGGTTCATTGCACTTTGTCTTGACTCTTGGCCTCAAATCTGCACTTTGTCTTATCTCTTGACCTGACACTAGAGTGACCCAACTTGATGGGTTGGGCACTGCTGTCTCGGGCACTGCTGGAGCAGGAGGCATCGCAGCACTGCCAGTTATATACTCTTGCTTTTCTCCTCCCATTCTTCTTAATTTGTGGGTACTAATGGATAAAATTCAGTCCAAGAGTTGAACTACTTACTGATTTTGAGTTATGGTTGAGGTCTAATAAAATAATTCAGGGGGAGCCTAATGAGAAGAGCTCATTGGTTCTCACCCACAATGCAAGAGGCTAAGGTCACTTGACTGTTGAACTTGGGCTGAACGTCCGCTGTGTGGACACAAAGAGGTTTGCTCAGCCTTGAGCTGTTAAGTGGGCCAGGCTGCTTGCAATGCTTCTGCACCCAAACTCTGACACTATACCATGTGAAAGCTTCATCCTCCACCTCTGTATAGAAGAGACAGCTCATTGTGAATGAAGTGAATAGTGAGCCCAGTTCAACAAAACAAGCCTCTGAATTAAAACCAAGTCCGATACTAAGTTTTACAAGCAGAAAGACTGCTCCCCAAGAAGCCACTACCAACCCTACTCCCTTTGTCTTAGTGGCCATGGTAGAATGGAAAATGAAGGACTGAGGGGAAGGGAAAAATTTATGTTAAAAAGGTTTTCACTTCTGCAGGTAAGTGATATTATTATCTCCACTCAAAGATGAGTAAAATGATGCTAAGAGTGAATTAGTACCAGAGTCACTTTATCCAGCAAATTGTAACAGAGCCAACATGATCCAGGATTGTCTGGCACAAAGCTCTTTGTGATTTCCACTAAACCAAGTTGTTTCTACCTAATCTACCATTTAGGGAAGATAAGTTCAAAAGGATTTGCTCTCTGGAGATCAGCTGGCAAGGAAAACTGGTCTTATATTAGATCAACAACCTGAAAAGAGATTATCAAACAAGTTGTCACTGAAAATCTCTACATCCATCAGTGCTTTAAATTTCCTAAGTGTACTGACATGGAATATACTTTACAACTCTGTTTTTAACTCTGAAGATTAATACACTTAACTGTAGAAGAAAGCTACAGATATAGAATCAATTGGAGTTCCTGAAAATAAAGAGCTTATTTGGCAATTTGATAAATTTAAAATTTATCTAAATTTTAAATCTGTATATCTTTAGAGCAAGTATATTTCTAGGAGTTTATCCTAGATATATGTATGAAAGTGCAAAATATACATTCATGAAAACATGACCACAGGTTTGTTTGTAATGGTGAAACACCAGACACAACACAAATGTCCACTGCTAGGAGCACGATTAAATAAATCATGACACACTGAATTGCAGAGCATCCCAGCTTTAGAAAAATACAGTGTACCTAGTGTGTGTTTGTTGATGCCAGAATCTCCAAGATGTAAATTAAAAAGAGCAAGGTAAATAATCCCTTTTGTATGCATTTAAAAAATAAGCTTTGGGGAAAGGGACTCTGGAGGACAGGAGTTGAAGACAATTACTCTTCTTTTTATTCATTTCTATAATATTTAAATTTTCTAACCATGTGCTGAGATTAATTTTTAATCTAAACCAACTTTAACTGGGCTGCGGAATCACAGGCCATTTTTTTCTTTCATACTTCTCTATATTAAAAAAAATTCGTATTATTTTTTAAAGGCATTAGCTCTCCCTCATTTTACAAAAACAATGGGCCTCTATTATGTGTCACAATCTGAACTGGGCACCTGGATGGGAAACACTTCCCTAACCAACACAAGTTAAGTGCAGATAAACTCCCGGGAGCATCCACATCAGGCTCCTGGCCAAGTAAGCTCCAGATAAAGCTGCTGATTCTAGGAGGCAGCGCTCTCTAGTGGGCAAAATGGTGAGTAAACAGGTGTGTCTTACCAAGTGAATGAATGCTCTTTTAGCAGGTGGCAAATACTTCTTTACTCCTGATCTTAATGAATTTCAGAGTAAAACACTTAGCTATGTGCCTGGCTTTTCCAGAAGGGAAGAGCCTGTTTACACCTGCCAACATCTGGAGAGACAACAGTAGTTCTTTACCATCATTTGAGTAAAAGGCTTTCCATCCATTTGACTTGACAAGTATTATACAAAGGCATTCTATATCAAACTCCGATGTGAAATCTTAGTTTTTCCTATCAACGAATTTTATCAATAGCACTCATACTTCCTGACATTTTCAGCTCTCTATAAAAACAAACAAGCAAACAAAACAGAACTCTCAAGAGAGAGTAAATGTAACAAAGCAAACATGTTAGGTACAAGGAATAACTGCAACTATTTTCAGGTTACTGTAGTCTCTGAAAAAGAAAAGGTGCAACCAAATACTGTAGTGTGGAAGAAAACTGCAAAGTGGTCAAACAATTAAAACAAATAAAAAAACTAATAATTGGGATTTTTAATAAGCTATGTTAATAAAAACATCTAACCATTCCCTATTAATTATGCACATTTCTGTCTGTAAATAATTTTTGAAAAATCATTGCATATTTACCCATGGTGAAACTCTTTAAAGGCAATGGAAAAGAAAAATAGTTAAAATCATTTGAAAAACAGGAAAATAAGAGACAAAGGCAGATGATACTAAGGCAGTAAGGAAGATAATTATAGAAAACAGGAGTGGTAGGTAATGTAAATATGTGGAGAAATCAGAGATGGAGGAAGAAAAGTAAGGATTGAGCACAAAACAAATTGATAAATATAGGACAACTAAGGACTGCATTATTTCTAAGTGCTAATCTTTAAACCAGAACAAGTACAGGTAAAAGGAGTAACAGTAAAATCTTCTGTGAACAGAATTTTGAACCATCTGCCAAACAGAAATCAAATACACTTGGAAAAAATACATCCTATTGCTACAAAACTGAAGCTGCTCTGTTTTGCACCCTGCCCAGCAGTGGGAAAGAGGGGGCGGTCTTCTTTGTCCTCACATCAAAGGTTTAGGGTACAAAACAAACAGGGAGTAGATGGTGAAGCTGCCTCCTTCAAGTCATACCTGAGCGGCAAGCCATTCCAGTGTCCGACAAGAAGTGCTTCCACTCTTTCTTGCCATATGCCTCTGCCAGCACTGCGGGAGTCATCATCTTGGTGCCATGGCTTGCCCTGATTTTGGGAGAGGATGCACATTGTTCATTAATGGTTCCCTTGAATGCCCCTTCCTCTATCATTGTGACTGTTGATCCCTGTTGCTGCTGGAGCTAACAAATACATATGCATTTTTTCTGTTTTCAGCTGGGCGCCTCCCTGTTTAGGATTCTGTAGAGTAAATTTCTGTGGACAGCTGTAATACCTCCCCCTTTTCATCTAGGAGGTAGCAGGTGATTAGGAGATGCTCATTCTGAGGTCAACACCGGATAAGATAACATCCTTTTTTAGAGAAGTTGTCCTTTAACTATACAGATAAGAGTAACATATCTGGAAAAATTAGAAAACAAAACAACCATGTTTACTGGGAAGCTGGTTCTGGCAGCACTAGAGAAAGAGCAGTAGGTACTAGAGTCAAAGCAGGAGTCCACCAGGCACACAGGAGGCCCAGGGGGCACCTGGCACCCACAGGAGGATGACTATAAGCATGCAGGACTGTGAAGACAAGATGGGAGCAACCAGCCCACTCAAGGACACAGAAATGGCTAAAACCACATGGGGAAATCGAAGAGCAATGTGGAAAAACAGAGCAACATGACAAAAAAGTAGGTATTTTCTGGGCTCGAAATACTGCTTTTGCATCAGTTAAGTCCAGCTAAAAGAATCTTACTCTGTAGAGAAATATGGTAGTTCCCCCTTATCTAGTTTTGCTCTCCACAGTTTTAGTTACCTGTGGTCAACCTGGGTTGAAAAATACTAAGGGCATAATTCCAGAAACAAGCAATGCATAAATTTTAAATTACATAGCATTCTGGGTTCTATTGTTATATTTTATTTTTATTTTCTTCCTGTACCTAGTTTATAAATTAAACTTTATTATAGGATAAGACATAGTACATGTAGGGATATGCACTATCTGTGATTTCAAGTAACCACTGAGGGTCTTGGAAGATAATCTCCGAGGATAAGGAGGGATTATTGTAGTTGAAATTTTAGTGGAGTTTATTATGAGAAATTATAATGATCGAGAATATTATTCTCTTGGTATTACAATGAGGTAACTAAATAATATGAAGGAAAAAAGAAAATAAGAAAAAACAAATGGGCTCCTTTTTATGAAGTGGTTAGCATTTTAGAAAGCTGTATGTCAAGATCAAGGAATCCCGAAAAATAAATACGATCAGACAAGGAATCTCCTATACTGGTTGAAAGAAAGCATCAAGGAGATATGCTAATAAATTCAGGAGAAACTAAAGGTTATGCAGGACTTGAATGGAGAGAGACAGACCTTGCAGGAGGAGGATGGGGACAGGAACAGACAGACAAGCAAGGAGAGAAAGAAACAAAATTGTAGAATGCTTTTCATTCTTTTAACCATGGTTAAAGATAGCCAAGAACACTGTGAGAATCTGACAGTAGAGTTAAAGGTCATAGACAAAGCTGCATTTACACATATCCTATCTCTGGATGCCTGAAAGATAAACATGGAACCAAATTACAAAATACCAAAGGTGGGACTACACCTGCTTTAGTTAGATGCACCTTAGGGGAAGGTCTGGGGGAAAGTGTGAAGGGAGTTTACATCATGCAAAAAGAATAATATATCAAAAGAGAGTATACATTAGGGGTCTGGGAGTTTTCTCCTTTGATTCTGATCCTGTTTGTGTATGTAGTAAGTGGCATAGCTTCATGCCCATGTTGACTTGCCTGTACTATTAGGACTGGAGAAAAAGACAGATGCTCCCTCCCTGGTGCCCTTTGAGAGACAGCAGTGACAGCTGCTGCTTCTGGACTGCTTGCTATACCCTTAGCAACAGTTAAGAGTTTGGGCCCACTAAGAGAGGAGAAGGAAAGAAAGTCACCCTGGCGTGTGGGAGAAGGGAGAGGTTGATGAGACTTGGAACAGTCCAGAAAAACTTCCAAAAGGAGATAGTACACAACATGATCCCTGCATGATAGGGACAAATTTGGAAAAATGGAGAAGGAAAGGGTGGTGGGTATACAACACCAACGTATACCCAATACCCATTCTTTCTTCCTTAAAAAGAACTCCAATTTTATTTTAGGCATCTATATACTCAGCTAAAACATTATAATTCCCGGGCTGTTTTGCCAAAAGGGGTGGTCAGTGAGATGTAGCAAGTTATAAACTTTCTATTGTATTTCCTACAAATATTTCTAATAGGATAAACTTAAAGGAATTAGACCTTTAAATGTAATCCTCACAAATTCATATATGAATGGCTCAAACAATTCATACAAAGACATGTAGGCAGACAGATAATCAGTCATCTAATTAATTAAAATAATCGTATTTAACCCATATTGTAAGGGTCATATGTCATGCAGTAATAAAGTGTCACAGAGAAAGTAAAGTTTTGACTCCACAACTATGTTTTATTACCTGAGAACAGTGCCATTATCTGCAAGTTTAAGGAAGTTCCCATCTTCTAGATCCAATGCCAAACCCTTGCAACTAAAACAGAAAAGTTTGATTATCAATCAATTAATATATTTAGCTAACCTAGGAAATAACAACCTATATTTTCCAAACATCATAATGCTAAAAAGGGATTCTCCCACGCAGGGGAATGATATGTTAATCACACAAATAGGAATATCTAAGAACAGTAAAATTAAATATCCATCACTAAGCGGGTATAAAAGGAATATTGTTATGTAGGCAAACAAAGGACAGCATATTCAGTTTGTAAAAATCTTTAGGCTTTTAAAAAGGTAAATCTAAAACTCTAAAGAGAAAAAAATAACCTGAACATCATCCCATACCTTTGTTAAAATGTACAAATGTTTTCCACTAAATAAAATACACACACACACACACACACACACACACATTTATATATTACTAGTTAAGCATTTAGCCAGTTGTTCCTACACTCTAGAATTTGTCTTAATTTAGGTCAGGTTACAAGAACTTGCCCTCTGGACAAGGCTTATTATTGAAAACCACTAAAAGAAAGTCAAACTAAGTTTTAGGTTCTTTACTGTAAAAGACTTGTGGGATTTGGGGAAAAATATTTATTATTATGAATAATAAAAGCAAACTGGTAAAATGGCTACCAAATACCAAGGGAATTAAACTAAAATGACAGTGTACTTTAGAAGCATTATTTACTTTTGTTTAGGGTAAAATTTCCAGAGTCAGTATTTTCTTACAGTGAAATGTTACCATTTCTTCCTTTTACAAAAATGGTACATCCAAAAAGACTAACCAAAAATCAAAAGAATGTATACTAGATCAACATTATGTAGGTATTTTTCATGTGTTTTAGGATTGTTACTGATTTTATTTATTTTTTTTGGAGACAGGATCTCACTTTGTAGCCCAGACTGCAATGCAGTGGCATGATCAACAGCTCACAGCAGCCTAGACCTCCTAGGTTCAAGCAATCCACCCACTTCTTCAGCAGCTGGGAATAGTGCACGTGCCACCACCTCTAGCTAATTTTTTTATTTTTTGCAGAGTTGGGGTTTTGTCATGTTGCCCAAGCTGGTCTCCAACTCCTAGACTCAAATGATCCACCCACTTCAGCCTACCAAAGTGCTGGGATTACAGATGTGAGCCACTACACCTGCCTGGCCTGTTATTAATTTTAAACTGAACACTTTAAAGTGTCTTAGGGTTTTTGTTTGTGTTGTTATCTAAATGAGGAAGACAAAGGAAGCTTTGGGAAGTTGAGTCCTAACCCAGAAAGGGAATAGCAGTAAGAGTTTTGAGAATGTCGATCCAAATGACCAAAACCAATGGTCCTAATTCAGATGCTTACTCAAAACGTGATGATTCCCCATCTTCTTTTACAGTTCTTAAATTAAAGGGTAGTAAACTAAACCTTTTTCTTAAAGATGTAAATTTTAGAAACAGTTCTTAATAACCTGTGAAATTATTATGACAAACTTAAACCATACAAAAATATCCAAATTAGTCATATAAGCTCTTAGCTTATTTTCACATTTAATTAAGCAAGTCTACACTTGTTTAAAGTAGAAAACACTTTAATTCGTTAAATACAAAACTTTTAATATAGAAGACATTTGTTCTTTGACTATTTCACATTTTGCATTCCACCTTCATAGAAGAGAAAGCATTACAGCTTTATTGGTAACAATTAGAACCACAGGAGATGTACAGACTTTAAAAAAAAGGAAAGGAAAGAACTTACCAGAAATCCCAATCCTCTGGGGTCACATTGAGCAATTCCTTATCATACCCTTTCTCCTTCACTAGGAACTGGGCAAAGCTATTATAAATGAGCTGCAAATAAGGGAAAGAAAAAGAGATTAAATATAACACCCACTATTCATTCTAAATGTCACAGACCTAAAAACCTAATGGAATCACTGATGGAGGCAGGTCGGAGGAGGGAAATATCTGTAATTGTGAAGTTCTGCAGTTTAATTCTCCTTCACAAGCAATTTATCAACCCCTGCATGCCCCAGGTAGTTGTCCCATTCAAAATTATACCATCAGCATACAATTATACAAGCAAAGACAATTATTAACCCTACTTCTGAATTCTAATGTGTTGGAGATCATAATTTAAGACTTGACAAAGCTTTTTAAACTTATTTAATATATCACTAAGATGATAAAGATGACGACGACTCTATCCATCCATCCTTGGTCCATTCTGGCCAGAAAGGCTCCATGTCAGGGAAATCTCAGAGTGAAATACACATGACCACCAGGCAGGCGATCTAAACAAGTCATGATGCCGCTATCAGATACAGAAAATCACTCTTATTTCTCCACACACACATACACAAAATCATTTAAAAAAAAAAAAAACCTAAAGAAAAAGGACAAAGAAAGCCTTTGGAAGCAAGTACATTAATTACAATAATAAATACTCTGCTGATTGCTGACAGATCTTATTTCTCAACAACAACAAAAAATGCTAGGTTTTTCAGTGAAACATCTGGTTTTTAAGTGCTGGCTCAATTTTGAAAGAACTGTATATATCAAACAAAAAGCACTCAAAAGGTAGATGGCCCTACATTATTCTACCTCGAAGTGTTCCTTGGCCAGTGTTGGGTACACTTGAAACTGAGCAGAACAGTGGTCTAAGTTGGCCTGAGCAGTGTTCAAAAGGACACACTGAACAATCTGACACCTCTATAGATATTAACCCACAACAGGTTTTGATAACATGTCATACTCTTAGGAAGAAGAGGGCATTGGAGGAGTGAAAGAAACCTCCCTGGGGTGGTGAGGTTTACACTGATACTTAGATGTAGCAGTTTGACAGGTGAATGTAGAGGGAATGGGGGGAAACCCAGGTTCAGAAACTGAGGGGCCTGCACACAGGTAGAGTAGGGCTGTCAGAGTCTGAGTGTCAGGATGTGAGCAGGGAGAAAGCAAAGGCTCCTTGTCAAATGTCAAATCGAGTCGCTCCTTGTCATAAAGCTAATTAAAATTACTACACATGTACTTCCAACCAGTGCAATGTGACCTTATCCAGGGTAACTGTTAATCAACCCACATTATGTTAATACCATATATCAACAGTTCTCAACTCTGGTGGTGATTCAGAACCACAGGTGACACTTCTTAAAAATACCCAGAGCTTCCAAGCCTACAGGCTAGAGTGGGCTCTCTCTGAAGCACAGAGAACACTAAAACCACTGACCTGCATGGTTTACAGATTTTCATTCAATCATTAAAAGGAAAAAAAAAAACAATAAAAAAATGCACTGAGTCACTCTGTAGTTCAAAGTACTATGGACAATAAAAAAGTACACATCATGATCCTGCTTGATGTGTACTTTCATACAACCAGTACAACCTTGTGAAACCAGTGCTGCAGGGCTAACAGATGTAAAATGCTTAGAGCAGAGCCTGGCACACCAGCAAATCCAACTTAAGTATTTGCTATTATTATGCTTTATGCCGCTAAAAACAACAACCAAAAAAAAAAAAAAAAAAAAAACCAAACAAACAGAAAACAAAAACACTGCCCTGATGTGTAAACACTGCTCTGATGTGTGGCGCCTGCCCATCTCCATGGTGTAAATATTCCCACCATGGCCTGTTTCAAGCCACCAACGGTTTACCTGCTTGCATAATTCCTAAATAGTTAACAACCGGTTTTCACAAGTCCCTAAGAACCAGCTATTATACACCTTAGATTTGCCTCTGGTTGAGGCACTTTATTTAGTCTTGGAAAACTGGAGTTTCTCACCCCTTGGCAACAGTAATTAGTTTAAGATATGGGCATGTGATTCTAAAACACTGGAATTCTTCTTTGACGAAAGGAGTCCTTTCCATCAGAGATAGCAACAGGGTCACCCACAAATGTGTTCCTTACCTTGTGGAGGAGATTTTTCTGTAACAGGAGAGAAGGGGACCAATGCACAAGGAAGAGAAGCAGAGAAGAGCAGTGTGGAGAAAAGCAGGGACATCTGTACTCTGAAACCCCTGGTCTAGGCAGAAGCCTTCATGGCACAGGGCTCTCCGTGACATTCCTCTCCCAGCCTTAGCTGTCACCACCTCAGAGTCTCTCAGGGCCAAAAATAATATAAACTCCACAGTAGTTGCCAGTTGGTACATATGCAGCCTACAAATTGTGTTTAGTTCCCACATAAGGATGCCAGATAAAATTTAAAAAGCCTAGGTAAATGTGACTTCCAAATAAAATACAAATACTTTTTTAAAATATAAGCATGCCCCATGCAATATTTGGGACCCTACTCTCCCACTCACACATTTACATTAACTGTCTGGTATCAGACTTCTGAGTCTGCAACCTTAGGAGAAACCATGTATCATCTCCTCTTCTAGAATGCCTTTCCTGAGGCCTCATGTGAGGGGGACACACTCAGTTCTGTGTTTGCACAACTCTGCAGTTGTTAAATGCCTACAAGCCTGAAAGGAGAAGCACTCACAGCTCTCCATGATGCAGCCCCCACTGACTTCTCTATTGTCTTCTTCTTCAACTTGCCACCTTTTGCTTGTACCCAGCAGTTCCTGGTGCTGTTGCTCACCTCCAGGTCCTGGCCCTTACTGTAACTCCTTTGTGTGAAGCACGCCTCTCTACCTCCTCACCTGCCAGCTCCAGGACTCTCCTCTGTGTTTTAGGGCACCATACAGACAGGAAGGTGGGAAGCAGTGGAAATCCATAGCCAGACTACCTTGCTCGGTTGCCCTGGATACACTTCCTTTCTGTGTCCCGTTGTTCAATGTTCTCTGAACAGTGACTCTGGCGATAATATCTACCTCACAGGATGTTGTAAGGGTTAAATCCATTTACATAAGCAGCATGCTTATTAGAATCATAGCTGTATCATGTTGTTATTAAAATATCTATTATGTATTCAGTTTTATATTTAGTCTATTTATTGAGCCCAGTATGTGTCCAGCACTAAGCTCAGCACACAGAACACACAAGAAACTGTCACAGATACTGATGTCAAGGAGCCATCACTCTGGGCTCTAGAGGAAGTCCAACAAGTAAACAGGAAGCGTTAATATCATGCGGTATGTGCAATGAGGAATGAAGGGTTTTGTGGAAAACTGAAGGTGGGCTTAGAGTGGAAGGGCAAACTTTAGGAGGCCAAAAAGGCTTCCTAAGGGGAAAGTGTTTAAGATGAGACCTGATGGAATGAAGAGCTTCTGTGCAGAGCAAAAAGGCCCTTCAGGCACTGGCGGTAGCATGCAGTAAGACCCAGGTCATACTACCCTCACCACAGGATGGAGACTAACTCTTTGGCATTTTTGACGACTGCATGAGGCTGCCTAGAGACCTGCGTGTTGATCTCTGTATCCTCAGCTCTAGCATGGTGCTCAGCACACTATGGGACTTAAATTAAGATTTCCACAGCAAACATGATCCAAAGCTTTAAACATGATGTATTCTCCAGGTTTGCAGTAAAAAAAAAAACAAAAAACTCTTGTCTTTGAGAATCTTATAATCTGAAATTTTATGCTCCCCCATGGACAACACTGGCTCTAACATGACTGTGGTTTAACAATATTCCCTCCAAACGAAGGTAACTAAAGAGGAGACAAACAGAAATGTGAACCAGGAAGAGATTTGAAAGACACAGAGAAAAGAATAATATGTATCAAACACCTAGGGGAAGCAGTGGCCCAAGAATCAAGCATTAAAAAAAAAAAAAAAAAAAAAAAGCCTTCTTAACTCTCAGTATGATTAAGGAAACCAGAACTATAAAATAAGAAAGCAAAAGTGTATAACAGCAGAAAAAGGACGCCTAAAAAAAAAACACAACTTAGCATTTGGGCATAGAAAACATACGAGAAATTCAGCCAGCCAGTCTCTTTTGACCTTTAAGTGTACCTGAACCGGCCAGCGCAGGGACATCACCATAGTGAGGCACAGCTCTGGCTGATGTCTGCACCAGTGATACAGAGTTCCTCCCATAAACTGTGAGGTTTCCAAATGGTTTGGGTGGTAACTATAAAAGCAAACACTAGTCTTTGCCAAGGTACTATTCTCAGCATTATACCTCTCTTACTCATTTAATTCTTGCAACAATCATATGAGGTAAATCCAATTATTAGCTCCATTTTACAGATGGGGAAACTGAGAAGCAGCACAGATTAAGTAAGTTGCTCAGATCTCAGAGCTAGTAACAGTGGAGCTGGTGTCCTAAGCTAGGCAGTCTGGCTGAGGAGTCCGCATTTTCACCACTGGATAACCAGCTTTTCCTGTATGGATGCGTAGATCTTGGACTAAAAAATCCTGGTAACTTTTCAAAATTAGTTTCCTTGGGAATTGGGATACCAAAGGAATAGGGGAGGCAGGACAATTAAATTGAGCGTACAGGTCTGGAAGCCGGCATACTCCATGTGCCCCTCCCTCAGGGCACAGTGAGGACCCAAACTTTGCAGGGTGTTGGTGGAATGTGAATGTATTCAAAGTTCATGGAGCACGTAGTCGGTGCGGAATAAATACTTATTTTCTTCTCTTGATAGAAAATAAAATTAGGGCTAAGATCTTAATGATTTTTCAACTAGTATTCCTTCCAATACACTACACTATATACTACGCATCTCTCCTAGATTGCAGTTTAAACACTGATGGTTGACCGTGAAACGGAAAAATGCAGCCAAGAAAAATGCGAGTCCCAAATCAAGTGGCTGTTTCCACAATCCGCTGGTGCCCAGAAAGACATGCAGAGTTCCAGGGTGTGGGATCTTCAAGGACAGCCCGTTCCCGTGACACTGCCCCTCCTCCTCTGCCCTAGATACGGATTCCCCAGCCTGATCTTGCACAATTTGCCCCTCCTTCGTTCTTTTCCTTCCCTGTCCCTCTCCTGTCAGCATTAGCTAATGGCTGAGCTAAATGTGCCGGTCCCCACGGAACGGGCGCGGAGGGGGAACTGCACACTTCCGCCCCTCCTCGCCGCTGGAGGACGCGCTCTAAGGAACGGTGCAGGCCCCGCCAGCGCCCTCAGCCGCCCAAGTCTGGAGGAAACTCAAGTCCCGGCCGCCAGGGAGGCTGCGCGCAGTGCGCCCCGGGGAGCCCGCGCCACTCACCGGGGCGCTCTCGGGCAGGTTGTAGCGACACAGAGTGTGGTCCAGGTCGAATCCGACCACGTCGCAGGCGGCCAGGGAGAAGTGCTGAGCCATGGCTGCACGAGGAGCACCGGGGAGCGCCTCGGCCAGGGAGGTTGCAAGGAGCGGACGGGCGGGTGCAAGGAGCGCGCGGGCTGGACGCTGCGGGACCCGACCCGGCCGGATGCGGCGGGGCGGGGCTGAGGTTGCTGGGGCACCAGGCGCGGCCGCCTCTCCCGCCTCCCGCGCCCTCCAGCACCGCCCCTGGATACGCTTAGCCCCCGCCCCTCGTACGGCCGGCGTCCTGCGCCGCCCGGCGTCTGGTCGTCCGCACTGCTTACCCCTGACACCCCAACGACGGCGCCCCCTGATGTGTCCCCCAAGCCTAGGAGCCCAGAAGGCAGGAGGGGCCCAGGAGCGGTGCCGCTGCTGCGCAGCTGAGACCTGTAGGCACGTAACCCTTCCCAAGGGTTACCACAAAATTCACCCGGGCTCTCCATCGCCTTCAGGGCCCCTCGGAAACCTGGAGACCCTGGGGTTAGACTTGACCTTTTTACTATTCCTGCGGAATAGTGTAAGATGATGGAAAAAATTCATCCGCTAATATCCCTCTGACCCAGCTAGCCGTCAGTTAGGAAAGTCTTTTTGCCCACCTGATCTTTGATAGTGGGTTAAACTAAAAACTTTGTATTCCTTAGTTTCTTGAGTGGTAAAATGGAAGGGAGACCTTTCAGCATTTCATACCCTGGAGTGCGTTAGAAAATAAATGTATCAGACATCGTGAAGAACCATTTTGCAAATTGATACTGGTTATAGAAACCAATATTGGTTATTACTTGATCGTCCATTTTGTTATTGCAATGAAGAATTGTCTATGAGAGGACATTAGAAACTTCATAGAAACATAGAGCTTATTGCAGAAAAAACTTTTGCAAACTGGTTTTAAGGTTTATAGAGCACAAAATGATTTGAGTGACAATTTGCTTAATTATCTCAAGAACTGTGTACCTACTACCATTTTAGATGCAAAGAAAGTTAATCCATTACATATCATGTATGCCTTAAGGCATTTAATTCTCTTCCTGATTTCCGGATGTGAAGGACTAGCACTTTGAGATCTTTATTACATAGTACCTCATTTTAAAAAGAAAGTACAAATCTATTATGTTTATATTGCTTCAGTTTTAAGTTTAAAGGAACAGTTTGCCCAATGGGACAAATCAATAGTCGTGACATAATGAAAATATAATTGATTGAGAATTGCATTTAACCCTTACAAAGTCTAATCCTTTTGAGGCTAATAGACCAATCAGAGGATTAATTTAGTGCAATAGATAGTTCAATTGAATAGGAGGACACTTATTATACTTAGTGGACCCATTTGAATAAAATTGATAACTTGTTCCATTGTAACACTTAAAAGCCGCAAACAAATCTCTCTAGAATAGGAAAAGTGAAGATTGAGCTATTCACAGATGAGTCCTACAAGCACGTCTTCAATGTCTGTGAACCAAAAGAGAAAAGGCTGGATTGCTGGAGAGGCTGGAAAAAGCTTGTTAGCCCTGGAACATGGACCCTGGCATTCTTCTCTGCCCCCTGCGATAGAGTGCTACCTAAGTCAAACTTCCAGGTAGATATCACATTGAAGGGCACAGGTTTCCTTGGGGAATATTTTGTTTCATGTGAGAATAGGTGCTGTAGGTACTTTAGGGACTTTCCTTGGTAATACAAATGTTCTAGTACATTCATTATAAGAGGGAAGAGTATAAAAGGATTGTTTTTCTTGACTCAGCAAAAACTTCTTTTTACAAAACCTCTTGAGGGTGCTGAATTATAAAGAGGAAATTCACTGGGAGTGAGGGGAGAGAGCAAACTGGGGCACTCTTAAGAGAAAAAGACTCCTGGATCTGTAACCAACTGGTCCTGGGTCTAGATTTGGCTATTACTTGCACATCAATAATCTTATGTACTTGCTGAATAGCGAATTATGTGTATTCTGCATGTTTACTCAAACAGTCCTTGTATTCGAGAGTCCATGTCATTTAAACTTTGTGGGAGAATTTTGCAAATGGTCCAATCCTGGAGGCTTGTACTCTTTCTTGAGCTCCACTCACCTTTCCTTTCTACCTCAAACCTCAGTCTGACTCTTCCAGAAATATAGAGGATAGTTACCTTCTCTTCTCCCATTCCCTACATAACCCTGAGTTTAAATACAAACACTAAGTTTAATTGTTTCATAAGGCTTATTTTTGGATAAGGATATTTCATTTTCCCTGTACATTAAACTTTTATCACACTTACTGATAAAATGCCACAGCTCTTGTATTATCAACTGCAAGTTCAGTCTTCTACTCAGATACCAATTAATTTCTGTTTGAGTATCATGGACTGCATTTTGTCCCCACTCATTCATGTGTTAAGAGGTAACCTACAATTTGTCTATATTTGACATAGGACCTTTAAGGAAGTAATTAATGTTAAATAATGCCATAAGGGTGGAGCCCTAATCCAGTAGAATTAGCATTCTCATAAGAGGAGGAAGAGACACCAGAGTTTGCAAGCACAGAAGAAAGGCCATGCAAGGAGCCACACTCCCAGTACTTTGGGAGGCCAAGTGGGGTGGATCGCTTGAGGTAAGGAGTTCAAGATCAGCTTGGGCAACATAGACCTGTCTCTACAAAAAATACAAAGTCAACCAGGTGTGGTGGCAGGCACCTATAGTCCCAGCTATTCTAGGGGCTGAGGTGGGAGGATCTCTTGAACCTGGGAGACGAAGGTTGCAGTGAGTTGGGATCAAGCCACTGCACTCCAGCCTGGGTGAGAGAGTGAGACCCTGTCTCAAAAAAAAGAGCACCTTGATCTTGGACTTTCAGTCTCCAGAACTGCAAAAAAATAATTTTTTGTTGTCTGAACCACACATTGTGTGGTATTCTGTTAAGGGAGTCTGAGCTAAGACAGTTAATAAGGAGAGTTGACTCTAATCAGTGCTATGTTGAATGTAGCAAATATTTGCTATTTGAAAGATGTCTAAAGGACATGAACTTGGGTTTATGTTATTTGCTGACTTTTTAAAGTTGGTTAATTTTGCTTATGTGTAACATTAATACCATGTTGTGAAGTTTTAGGGCTTTTTTTTGTTTTTAGTATTTCATGTACTGTATTTTCTTACAGTTGTGAGTTATGTAATAATTTAGAAATATTCAGAAATAGGAAGTTATGTTACAGCCGTCTAGAATTGAATTTCATTATTACAGTTGACCTGCTTTTAATTAAGGTGGTACTAAAATTTAGCAGCTTTAACCTTATGTGTGACTTGTGATCAGCTAGCTTAAGCTATAGGTTCTATAGTAACTCACTAACTGATTTTTTGTGAATTTATAATACTGTCTTATAACATTTGTATTGGAAATATTATTCACCAACTGTGATTTTAAGGGGGAGAGAAATGGCCTGTTTCTTTTTTCATTAGTTTAAAATATGCTTTTCTAAATACTCCTAATTAAACATAATTAAACATTATATTTTCAACATTTTATATAACCTAAGCCAATCTACATATCTTCTGTGGCACACATAATTTCTTTAAGGGGTAAGAAAAAAGTTCATTTACTAATTTGAAAAAATTAGGAAAAATATAAATTCCTAAAAATAAAACTATGGCACTTAAATATTAGCCATTTAGCTACATAAAACCAAATACTTATTTGTAATACTAGGCTGGGGCCTTTAGATGGCAGTAGTTCTGCATCAGGAGTATTTTTTTTCTTTTTCTTTTTTAGTAATCTTAAAATCTTTAAATTTCTTAATAAAAAATCCTTCACTCTCTACTCTCTTGATTTTCTACTCTGCTCTTGCCACAAGAAAAACAAGCCTACTTAGACATTTAACTGTTTATGTGTGTGTGCATTTATTTTTGATGGTGGAGAGGGAGGATGTAATGGGCCAAATTCCTTTGGTAGGAAACTTCTTATAAAGGTTGTGTCTAGATTTTTAAAAATGTTCAAAATATGAAATTAGTTCCTCTTAGATAGATATTAAGTAGCAGCATAGCAAATGGTAGAGCAATGAATTGAAATTTAATTAAAACAAATGTTAAGTTTTGCTTTAAGGTTCAAATAATCAACTTTAATAATATATGATGGGGAATGTTGATTTGCCAGCAGCTGAGTTGGAAACACAATATAGGTAAACTCAAGATAAGCTCAGCTAGTTCCAGCTTAAACTTCATGTCTGTCACTTTCTAATACCTCCCTTTGACTTTGGCTTTGACTTTGTTCTTTTGGGGGAGTGGGGCTTCTAAATTGCAGAAGGGCTAACATACTATTGAGAGGTCTAGGGAGAGGATTTTGATCCTTGGTTAACAGCATCCATATACACAGATTCTCCTGGACTAGACCGTCTCTGGTGGTTTTGGGTTGCCTCTGGACACATTGTCAGTAACCACCACTGCTGCATAAACTCTAAAATGCTTCAGTTACAGTGATGTCCAAAAAATGTTTAGTTTTGACTCAAACCATGAGACCACTTCAGGCCTGCCTTTCCACACTCAGCCAACCTCTGTACCTATCTTGCAATCACAGGAAACCTTTGGTTTTGGAACCACAGAAAAAGAAGATGCATGTACTATGATGGAGGAAGGTGGGGCCACTACCTCAGATCCTCTCTCTAGATGTCACCTACTGTTCCTATTCTATTCACTGTCCCATATTGTCACAGGAACCCTGCAAAGCTGTTTTCTCTCAGAATTCGGAATGTGAATCAGGAACTAGTTTTCTCTGCTTTGGGATCCCCAAGCTCATGTTGGGGGTGCTGTTGTTTCCCATGCAGAGGATTTAACCTTGCAATGGAACAGGGTGTAGGACCCATGATAAGGCTCATTGTCATGCTCTTCATCCTGTTTATCTGAGACTAGCATTCATAGATAAAATACGGATGCCCAGATAAATTTGAATGCCCCAAAGATTGTGGGACATTCTTATACAAAAAATTTATTTATCTGAAATTCAAATATATCTGAAATTCAAATTTAAATTGATATTCTACATTTTTATTTGCTAAATCTGGCAACCCTATGTGAAACAGGGACTTTGTATCCATTTTCAAACAAACTTTTTGTAAACCTTTTTGTAATTAGTATTTTTTTCTTTCAGAAGGAAAATCAAATGTGTCAGTCCAAAAGTCATATTTTAAAGCTCTAACCCTCAGTATTTCAGAATGTGATTATACTTGGTGATAGGGCCTTTGAAGAGGTGATTAAGTTAATATGAGGTGTTAAGGTTGGCCCAGATCCAATCTGTCTGGTATCCTTATAAGAAAAGAAAATTTGACACATAGAGATATAGCAGGGATGCACAAAGAGTGTGTGAGGACACAG